AATGACTTAACAAATGTCGGAGTTTTGCCTTCAGATACAGCTGGAGAATTGGAGATATAATTCAGTTGATGACGACCTTCCAGAACCATATTCTACAAGAAGCTATTCTCGAATTTCTCACAATTTAAAATGGAGAAAAACGGATGCAATATATTCTTCAAGCCCTTTCAATGGAGAAAAGAAAGATGTAATAAAACTTGAAAATGATTTACATGGTAAAAGTCCATCAGATATATTTTGTTTAATTTTCGACGAAGACTTATATTCCCTAATTGTAGAACAAAGTAATATTTATGCTAAACAAATGAATAGACCTAACATATGCATAACCATCCAAGATATTCAGAGATTTATTGGAATTCTATTATTTACTGGATATCATTCTCTCCCACAAGAAAGAATGTACTGGTCTAATGACAGCGATATTTCTATTCCAATAATCCGGGATACAATGACCCAATTACAATTTCGAAATTTAAAATATAATATCCATTTGGCAGACAATACTAAAATAGATATACATGATAGATTTTATAAAGTTAGGCCTTACATTAATATATTGAATAATAAATTTCAGCAATTCGGAATTTTTAAACATCATTTATCAATAGATGAACAGATGATACCATATCGAGGAAGACATTCTTGCAAAATGTTCATAAAAGGAAAACCAATTAGATTCGGATACAAGTCTTGGATATTGGCCTCTTCCGACGGTTACGTATTCTCATTTGATATATATCAAGGAAAAAGCGAAAATAAATATGAATATGGATTAGGTGGAAATGTAATCATAAAATTATTAAAGGCATTGCAAAAACCAAATTATCATAAAATATATTTTGATAATTTCTTTACATCATTTAAACTCTTGTCATACTTAAAACAAATGGGATATTTTGCAACTGGAACTGTGAGGGACAATAGAATAGAGCATTGCCCAGTTGAATCTATAAAGGTTGTAGCAAAAAAAGAAAGAGGATATTATGATTATAGGTTTGAAAAATTAAACGAAATATTTGTAGTTCGTTGGAATGATAATTCGGTGGTGACCGTTGCATCGACATGCCACACTATCTCTTTGCTTTCTAATGTTTCAAGGTATTCTAAGAAAATATCTTCTAAAATAAAAATTCCTCAGCCAAATATGGTAACTGCTTATAACAAACACATGGGTGGAGTTGATCTATGTGATAATCTAATATCTACATATAGAATAAAAATAAGAGGAAAAAAATGGTGGTGGCCAATATTCACCAATTTTATTGATGTATCTTTGGTAAATTCATGGAAAATCTGGAAATTCGTGAATCGAGATGACAAGAAGAGTTTGCTTGCATTTAGACGAGAAGTTACTAACTACCTCCTTCGAACGCCAGTAAAAATTGAAAAAAATTCAAGTACAGGTCACGCCAGCCAGTTTGCATTACAGTGTGAAAACCCTATTGATTCATCTGGACATTATTTATCCAAAATTATAGATGGAAAAAGACGAAGATGCAGATATTGCCATACGCACTCAAGATATATGTGCCAAACATGTCAAATCGCACTCCACATTAAATGTTTCAAGGATTTTCATAATATATAAACATTTTCTCGTTTTTATTATAAATTACAAAAAAAGAATAAAGATATTTGTTGTTTTTTTGATCTTATAGTATTTTATATAATTTTTATCTTTTTTAACCTCTTAATGGTTAACGGTGCATATATGCACCAGGCTAGATTTTCTATTTAGGATTATTTTTTTTGGCTGATTTTTTTAGAATATCATATTTGAGCATTAATCAATATAATTTGAAAAAATTGAGCATTTTTATCCACTAGAAAAATCTTGACCATTAATGGGTTAAATAAAATATTTATCATAGGTATCTTTAATACCTTTTAACAAGTATATGACTTACTTCTATTTTAATTATAAAATTATTTGTACCTTTTTACTTTTTTGTAAGGTGACTAAAATTTTCATTCTCACCAATATGTTTAGAAAAATTTCTTATGTCCATAATTATTATTTGATTAAAATTTTGAAAATAATAGATAAATATTACGCCAAGGAAAACTTGAAATCGAAATTAATTGATAAAATAACTTAGTAAATGAATGTGATAAATAAATGTAATTAAATATATATTATATATTTAAAAAGAAAAAGAATTGAATAAATATTATAAAAAAACAACTTAATATTAACAATAATATTTTTGAAAAATTTATCTGGCATCTTGATTTTTAGGCTTGGGGGGGGGATTTGTTCCCCTGTCCTCACTCCCCCACCCCTGCTGCGTACGCGCCTGTAGATTATATTAACAATTAGATATTGATCGTTATTAGTATTAGAGGCTAATTAGAAATATAAAAGCTTAAAAGATACATATGTGAGGGAAAGAAAAAAGAGAGCTTCAGATTCTGGATTTAAATGAAAGTGGTTTCATTTTGAGTTACTTTCTTACCCTAAACCAATGATGATTACTCCATTATGTAAATCTAATCTAGATTCAAGTCATAGTGAGGATGTTTCCTTTGAAGAAGAGGTTAGAATATAAATTTTATTTTAATAAAAATTTACAGACTAACCAAATATCGTTAACAATTAAATAAGGTGATTAGTGTTGTTAAACGGCTTAATTTGAGCCGAATTTTAAAAATCGCTAACTCAATATTTTATCCAAAAAAACATTATGCAAGCTTAAAGATTTTGCTAATACATGTCACATAGGATTGTTCATCTATTGGCGAAATCTCGGTGCTTAGGTTATATTTTCCTGGCTATAATGTTTAGTTAACGGTTTTTAAAATCGGCTCAAATCGAGCTGTTTACAACACTAATGGTGATGCAGTAAAATTAATTAGTAAATATAAATTTGTCATTTCAGTTAAAAATTTATTGCCATCAAATTCTAGTCATTATCATGAAATAAGTGAAGGAAATAGGTCCAAGCAATGATAAAGAAAAATTATATTTAATTTTAGGTTAATCCTACTTCAAATTCAAACCTATAATAAAAATTTTTTATAATTAGAACATGAGAAATTGAAAATGATTAAGAAAAATTTACTAGAAGAGGATGAAATGTGGTATTCTATAAAAGGTTTTAAACAAGATATTTCTTTAATGGATAATTTAAAAAGAAATATTAAAAAATATAATATATATATATTAAAAATCCTAATGGTTTATTATAATTACATTTTGTTGATTTTAGAAATATTTTATTATTTCTAAATAATGATTAATCAATATAATATTTTTGTAATTTTAATTATATCATAATTGTCAATAAATATAAATGCATTATAATATTAGTACAAATATTTATATAACATCTTTCCAAATCTAATATTATTTTGTGTATAACCATAATTGTTATTTAATTTTCCTTATTATTTTCTAATATTTTCAATAAAATTCTAAATTTTGCACTAGAAATACCAAATGTCTGCTGTTTAAAATATATAATATTAAAAAAAAATCTATTTTACTAAATATTTGTTCATAATAAAAAGTTGATTAGTGGAAATATGAAATATGTTTAAATTAGAAACACATGTTAGGCGAAATATAGAGTAGACACCATTTCGCGCGAAAATAAAACGCACGATTAAAAATCGCGTATTCGCCCTTTTTTAATTGCTTGCGAAGACAAAGCTTAAAAACGAATTATAGAAATGCGATTTGATTCGAGCAAATTTTTGTCATTAAAATTGAATACAAGAAATATTGATAAAAATTATTCATCTAACAATTAACTTCTCTTTATTTTTTAGTCAAATTATTTATTTATATAAAATTATTCATTATTTCTTAAATATTTAGTTTTTTAAAATATCAGTCAATCTATAAAGATCTTGATAAAAAATATCCCAATTTATTATTTCTTTCAAATTATATTGATTAAAGCTAACAACCTACCTCATATTTTCACATTTCTATTTGAGGATTTAAAAGATTTTGTTAAAATGGGACTATTCCTTGTTTGCAGTGTTGTTTAAATCAGTTCCTGGCAGTCGAAAAAATTCTAAGCCTTGAGGCACAAGCTGTTTTTTTAAAGATTCTATCTTATAAGTTCAAAACCTCAATCGAGGTTAATATATATTTTTTCTCCAATCAATACCAATTTTATTAGCCATTATTTAAATTAAAAAAATAATTTTTTTTTACCTTTTCTTATCCGTTATTATTTTTATAATCTCCCTTAAAATTGTTAAAATGAGAGAAATTATAATTTTTATTTTAGTTGACAATAACGAAAACTTTTTTCTTCTTTATATTTTTATGTTATAATGGCCCCTCTTGGCTATAAAAATATGAAAAAGGAATAAAAAGTCAATTTTTCTTAATACAGACCTGGTAGTATAATATTATTAATTAAGAAAATTTTTGGAAATTTTGTTTCTGTAAATTTCATTTACAAATTGAAATTGACATACATAATTTATTAAATTGTTAAATGATATTTATTAAGATAAATATATTGCCCATATGTGTTTTTCTCATAATTTTTTATAATATTCTCATACTTATGATGGATAATACACAATTTTTATGTATAATTTTTAAATATAAACTTAAATATTTTTTAACAGAACAGGCGTCAATCATTTTTAGACTTAAAATATCTATGAAGCGTTTTTTTTAATTTTGAAATCGTGTTCCGGCATGCAGGCGCGTATCTAGGAATTTGCTTTTTAGGGAGACTAAAATATTCTAAAAATATAAATTTATTTGGACTAATAACAAAAAAATTAAAAATATCTATTAATAAAACAAAATTTATCAAATATACTCTCTATATAAATTAGGCACAAAAATTTTATTAAGTTATTCTTTGATATATTTTAATAGAAGTCAATCACAAAATATCATCTAATTTAAATCATAAAAGTTTTAACAAGTAAATTGCAAAAGGGTTTAATAAGTAAACGTTTAACCCCTTTTTAAAATATATTGATTTATCATTTATTTATATTGTACATCTAAAAATATTTTGAAGGTTTTGCCGGTGGATATAAAAGAAAATGATGTTGGCAATATAGACAATTGGTTAAAAGACAAAGTATTTCAATATTTAATTTTGTAATACAGTAAAACCTCATTATAATCAACCTCTAAAGGGTGCAACGGAATTCATTGTATAAAATTTAATTAGCTTATTTTAATTAATAAAATTAAATTTATATATTCATCAGTAAGAATTATAAAAAAAACCATTGCTCTCTTGTATCTACAATTTTTGAGGGCAATGCGTTTATCACGTAAAAAAAATATTTTAAAACAAATTGAAATTTATAAATAATAAACTATTGAACATCTATCACTAACACATACTTTAAAATATACAAACGAATATATGTATAATAAAAATTTCCCATAAATTATACTAATCTTACAATCATAATCATATCATAAACATATATTTAAGTATATACAAACAATATCCAAAAATCCATCAACAAAAGAACATCTGATCTTCTGTTTTACATTCATCCTCTAACAAAAACCAAAACTAATTCCAAAGATCACTTTTGATTGACATTTCATATATTTCATTATATATATATATATACATAAATATATAACAAAAATACAAAACTACAACACGCCCATCCTTCAAAAGCCACGTGTTACATTCTCAAAAAAAAAAATCATTTAATTTCTAAGATATTCTTCATTTTTCATATAATCTTCCCAAAATTCTCTTCATTTCTCATCAGTTATTTGATATCATCTTCTCATAATATTTTCAGGCTTTTTCATTGAGTCATAGCTCTTATACATCTTCCCATATTTAAACCATTTTTTATCTTCCAACACATCATGAGTTAAATAAAACATATATTACATATATTTCTTTATCAAATACTAATAATCAAAATATAAATTACATGTAACTATAATTTATTTACAAATCAAAGTGATATTTTGTCTCAAAGAAAATTTTGATTTACAAAAATAAATCATCAGATGTAATATTTTTAACATAATCATTGAACATTGGTAACATAAAAAAATTATAATTTTGGCGACATAATCATGATAAAAACTACATATATTACGTATAACTACAATTTTGTTATGTATTCATATTAATGACATAATCACTATTAAACTATATAGATTACATATAACTAAATAGAATATTTTGATTTTCAAAAAAACAGGGAATATTGTACAATCTAATAAAAATGAAAAGAAATTTTAATTTACATGATTTATAAATTATCATTTCAGACACATCTTAATGATAACTTTACATTCAAAAAATTGTACATTCATCACTTTTAGTATTATGATAACATTTATTTTACCTTCAAATATATATCATATATTTACTTATCACTTACATAATATATCACCCTATTTAAAATTGAATTATATTCACCATAAATCAATATTAATTAAAAATAGATCGTAAATGAACCAACACACATTTCCATCTTTTTAAATGCTCTAATTGCATATATAAAAAAATAATAATTTCAGCACTAATCTATTATATATTTTTAATATTACCCATAAAAATTTTAATCATCACCATAATTATTCATCAATTTTTATTCACACTTTTATTTTGTATATATTTTTATAACAAATCTTCCACTTTTATCACACTAAATTCTCTACTTCCGTACTCTTATAATTCCAATAAATACCCCTTTTCTAAATTTTATATTTTATTTTAATAAATTTTAAATTAATAACCCTTTAAAAACTTAAATTTATTAAAATAACCCTTTCCATAATTAAAATAACTCTATATACATATGAAATCCTACCTTAAATTTAAATAAATTTTATTTTTATTTCATCAAAATGACAATAAAAATATCCACTGACATAAATTTAGACAAATTTTATTTTTAAATGACAATAAAAATATCCAGCTCTTCAACTCTTTTTATTCAAGTTAAAAAAAATCAAAAATCCTTATTCTTTTGATTACATTATTTCACATATGTTTACAGAATCATTTTAATTATACATTTAGCAATATTTAATCTCCATTCTTGTCATCTATTATCAATATCTAATTATATTTTATCCCTTATAAAAATTCCCACTTAATTTTATAAATTTTTTTTAACACTTAATTGCTTATATTTTTGGATTTGTTAAAATTATTTTATATTTTCATATAACAAAATTTTAGGGTATTTTATATATTTTACATTCCTTTATTTAATCATGTATATATTTTTATTAATTAAAATATTTTCAAAATGTTGATATTTTATTTAATACAGATTTTAATATTAAAAATTATAATGTATAAAGACTCTATTTAAAAAAAAGTAATTTTTTACAATTATATAAAATATGTGTAATTCTTATGCAAATAATTGTATTTAAAAAAATATGATGATATTATCTTATAAATAATACTTTTTTACAAAAAAAATTGATTATATATTAAAACTAATTATTTTTATTGCTATTTTTTGATTTGAATTTAAAAAGAGAGATCTACTTTTCTCTGAGATTTTGCTAATTCATCTATAATCAAATTTTTATCTAAAATAATCTCCTTATAAATATTCAATAGGGCTAATCCATTTAAACGTTTTTCGCCTGTTGTGTTTCTTAAATAGGTTTTTAATCTTTTTAAAGTTGAAAAAGACCTTTCATTAGTGCAGGTACTCAGGGATGCGAACCCGACAAAATTTTTGCCCGGGTTCGGTTCGGGGTATAAAAAAAGGTGTGTTCGGTTCGGGTTCGGTTCAGGGAAATATTTTTGAACCCGGGTTTGGTTCGGTTCGGGTTCAAGAATTTTTGAGTTGATAAAAAAAATTCTATATTTAAATCATAATAAAAAACTAGACATAAATTTGATATAAAAAATAAATTTTTTATTTTATTTATAGGCAAATATAGTTAAAAATACAAAGCATATAGTCATGTATCAATTTTAAAAATTTTATTTAGACGTATTATCATAATATCTTCCAAGAGTTGTTCACTCATCCTCGATCTATGTGGTGAAAGAATGAATTTCAAATGTGAAAAAGATCTTTCAACGCTAACCTATGTTAAATGTATTTATATGTGAAAATATGAAAAATTAAATTGAGTTGCAGGAACAGCAAATAAGATTTTAGATAAAATATATAATTCAGGGTGTTCCAGCTTAGCAGACTCCCAAAAATGCAAAATATTTTCCTTTTTATCTAATCTTTTATAATCGCTAAATCCAGTAATTATTGTTCCAATACTTTTCTCAGCAATCGTTGGCCCTCTTTTAAGTATTTTCTCCTGCCTTTCTTTAAGTTGTATCAATTTCTCTAAATCATCTTCTTGTTCAATAACTTCATCGGAACTAATATCATCAGATAAAATCGGCGTTGTTAAGCTTTTAATTCGTCTCCATAAATTGACAAGATGTTTTTTCGCACAAATCTTATCATCATCACTAAGTAATACCTGTAATATTTAAGGATTTATATTGTTTATATTTAAATATTTCATAAAATAACAATTTTAATATAAATCTAAAATAATTAATTTACTAAGCTTTTAATTAACCTTGTATCTTGGGTCCAGGTATATGGCAGCTAAGAGAATTTGGTTCTTTATAAACCTTTCTTCTCTGTTCTTAAGACAAGAATATAGTAATTGAGAAAAATGGTTTGGATTTTTTTCCAGTTCGATGCAGCATCTTAACCATGCTGCATAAAAATCTGTCAGTGTTAACTGTTCAGATTGGAATTGTTTGGTTGCGATTTTTAGCGGTTTTAAAATTTCAACAATCGTTATTATCTCTTTCCAATCTTCAGTCAATAAATAATCAGATTGCTCTGTAAAAAAATCTTCGATATTGGGTTTTAGTAAAATCAGCCTTTCTAACATATCATGGGTTGAATGCCATCTGTGGCAATCTAACACAGGCTTAGGGAGTTTCATATTTTTTAATAACTTTTGGTAAGTGGGATGTCTTAATTTTAAATTTAGGCTCCTAGCTTTTGCAATGGTTTCCACAATAGGTGATAATTTTATAGCATCTTGAAGTGCCAGCTGAAGTGTGTGAGCTGCACACCGTACACTATAAATCGGATAGGATATAATAGTTGATAAAAAAGTATTTTGTATATCATCAATATCATATTTATATACATTTACATCCATATTTTCCTCATCTGCTGATTCACTCCTTATATCATAATCAGTTTCAGGTTGCAGGAGCTTTATAGCTCTTAAAATATTACAACCATTATCAGAAGTAATTGTGTATATTTGTTGAATATTAATTTTAAATTTTAGTAAAGTTTTTAATATATTCTCTTTTATATATTCTCCTGTATATCTCTCTTTCAGCTCTACAATTCCAAGAGTCCTCAAATTTATAATGGACTTTGATATAAATTGAATATTTACACCAAGAATTGACCTATCTAGTCGTTGAACTGCATCAACTTTTAAACTTATTAATTTTCCTTCTACCTCTCTCGATATTTTGTCTCTAATTGATTGAGCTGTTTTATTAATAGTTCTGGATAAATTTTCTTTGTTTATAACTAAATTGAGCCCAGATAGTAGTGGATTTATAATTCTTTGAAATCCTGAATCTTCAATAATTGATAAAGGCCGGCCATTTACAGTAACAAGTTCTAGTATAGAACTCATCAAATCATTAGATGATATATTTATACTTATATACTTTTTTGGAAAAAAGGTTTCTATATTAATTTTAGGTTTTTTTGCCAATAACAATTCCTGATATTTGGTTTTTTCATTTAAATAATTTAAATATTCATTGTTGTGATTTCTTTCCAGGTGTCTTTCTAAATTTGACAAGTGATTACCAGACATTTTTACTTTGCAATATGAACATATTGATTTTTTTTTTATTGTATTAAGGGTAAAATGCTTATCAAATATGACTTTATCTTTAATCTTAAATCTATAAAAAGAGAACAATTTTTTTAAATAGCAATGATTTCAGAATTAAAAAAGAGATATTTATAAATTTAATTTCATTTATAATATGCACTTCATTAATATCTTGTAAAAATTAAACTGAACCAAAAATAAATGATTAGCATATATAAATTTTAAAATCAT